ACTGAAATTATGAAATGAAATCACTGTCTGTCACCTAGTAATGTCACATAATTCAAAACAATTTATGGAGAGTGCGTAAGTATGTTGGACAATTGAGGCCAAAAAAGGAATTGTTTATCAACTCCACCATTCAAACATATATTCACTCATTCACCAAGTATTTTGTCAGTATCTATTATGTGCCAGATAGTAGCCAGTGCCCTGTGCCCAAAACACAGTCTCCCAGAGGGAGAGAAAAGAAGTTCAAAAATGTAGCCTTTCTCCTTTTAGGGAATGGTCTTCCTTCACACGTGCATATCTTCAACTTTGCCTATCACTTAAGTTAGTAACTCCTTCTACCTGAGCTTGTAAGTCTCTTTTTTGCCTGGTTTTCCTGACCCCACATAATGCATGATCTGGAGGCTAGCACACTGCACCCTTGTACATAACAAAGCCCTTTCTGTAATGCAAATAAGCAGTCTATAATTCAGCCACTTTGTGCACACGAGTTTCCATGAAGTGGTCTGCCCCAGTAACACAGGGAAGCACTCTTCTCAGGAAGTAAAAGGCCAGCTGGGACGTGCTGAAAGACAGCCTGGACAATGGGTGAGAGCAGGTGGGATGCTGCTTGTCTTCCTAAGGGTCCTTTCTCCCTGCTGCTCTCTTCCTTCCTGTTTGCTTTTGATAGATATGTAGGATTAGATGGGTGACCTGTGGATGATTCACATGGAACTGAAGGTCAACATTTATTGGCACAGATTATTTTATTGGACTATGGGTAGATGAATCCCTGCAAGACACCGGGTTTAAGTGTTTCCCATCAACTCTGAACATTAAACAGTTTTGTTAGTATAGTTTCAATTGTGAAGAAATGTCTACTGTATTCTTTTGAGTCACAAAACTATTTTTCATCCTTACTTTGTATAATGTTCCCCAATCAAACCATCCAAATACCTCCTTGAAAGAAGGCATTAGGTGATAACATTTTAGCTTTGAAAATTTGCTGTAAGTTACTCAAAACATTGTAAATTTCTTCCCCTGTCCTTCAAATGCACCATATAAATATTGCATTTGATCCTTAACTTACACTCCATCAATAATTTATTTCATAAATATCCCTCAGTAAGACCATCAGTTGCTGAGGTGTTCGGTTTTCGGGGAAAGCATTTATTTACTGCATGAGCCCAGGAAGGCTGGTAAAGACTTGGCTAAAAGCTCCACATGGAGCGAATTATGGTAATTGTATTAATGCTCAAATCCACGAAGCTCTGCTCAAATCTGTTAAAAGGTTTTGCACTTTATTGCCCACATCTTGACGGGCAATGAGTCCACTGGAAATGTTTAACACTTCACAGGGAAGCTTACGAGATTCACTGCTCATAGTTACAAAAATTACTGAAGAATCTCTGGAGGTATCTTCCAGAGCAATCTCTGAAAGTCACAACTGAGAGTTAACAACCTCTTTACTATCTTCCACTTTTAGATCAGACTGAAACTACAAGTTCAAGTCACCAGAAATGAAAATCAAAGGAAATATCACAATTAATTTTGATGAATGGGTAAGTTTTAATTCATGTATGGCAATATTCTGGTTAATGATATGTCTCCTTAGGACATCCATTAAAAATCCATTAACTTAACAGGCTAAAACTAATAAAGTTACTCTGGAAATTTTCTGCTAGATTAACATTATGGATTTTTAATGAATATTTCCTGTAGGTATTGCTCTATTAGCAAACCTAATATAATAATTAAACATGGGTTTTGTGTCAGGGGTGGGGGGAGCACCAAATGTTAAAATAAAAAAATCAGAGTTGAAGTTGGACCCAAGTCACCAAAGACACTACTAAAATCAGTAAATATCATTATAGCTTTTAAAAGCAAAAAGTGCCAACCGACTAGGACCAGCCATCTCAAGTCAATTTATTCACTTACTAATCACATAGTATTTGATCTACTAAAGTGTACCATCCCCTATGCCGGACACAAAGGTAAATTAGTGAAAATCCTGATGTCAAGGAGCTCACAGTCTAGTATAGAATCAAGACACATACAGGTAATCAATGTATACTATACTAAGATATGGTCGATATACCATGAGAACACTCAGAAGGAACAACCAAATTCAGGGGGTGGCGGGGGCACAAGTAATTGAAGTTGAAATTTGTGTTCCAATAAGATATTAGCTCCTTCTAGGGCCTCCCATTGGGAAGGTTTCAATCCTGACTTAGCATTTATTACTTCTGCATGGGGTTAGATGAGATTATTCATCAAATTTTCATCTGCAAACAAGGTAACATTACTTTTGTCATGGATTGTGAGAATTACATGCAACAAGGTCTGGGAAAGCACAGAGAAATGTGCTTGAAATATAAAAGAGGAAGCAGGGTTAGTATTTACGTTGCCTACCATTCATAGGCACACAATGAATATTATTAATTGGCAGTCAATATAGCAAAAGGGTTACAGCAGGATTTACAAAGATAATGGTTAAGATGCAATAGTATCATGTCTGAGAAGCAGTAAGCTATTAGTTTTCATTGCTACCATTAATTATGCCTTCACAGGTAAGACTATATGGAAACATGACGAGACTCGGTCTAAGTTCACACCATTAGTGCCAAAACTAGAACCACTCTAATTCCCAGTTCAGTGTTTTAGACCCATCTTGCCTATACCCCTCAATTACAAGACAAAAAAACCTTCCCTTGGCACTCAGTCCTGATGGTTCTCCATCAAGGCAGCAAGCTCATGGGGTGCCTCCAGAACAGCAGCTTGGGGACTCAGGACTTGATGGCTCTGCTTTAGTTCTAATGACCATGCACTAATACCCTGGTGCTATGGGCTGAATTGTGTCCCCAAAATTAATACGTTGAAGCCCTAATCCCCAACATGACTATATTTGGAGATAGGGTGTGTAAGGAAGTATTTAAGGTTAAATGAGGTCAAAAGGGTAGGGCCCTGGGGTGCCTGGGTGGCTTAGTCAGGTGAGTGTCTGACTCTTGATTTCAGCTTAGGTCATGATCTCACATGAGATCAAGCCCTGTGTTGGGCTCTGCACTCAGTGGGGAGTCTGCATGAGAGTCAGTCTCTCTCTCTCTCTCTTCCCCTCTCCCCCACTTGCACTCTCTCTCTCTCTCTAAAATAAATAAATAAATCTTTAGAAAAAGGGTGGGGCTCTGAGCCAATAGGATTTGTGCCCTTAGAGGAAGCGACACTAGTGAGCACTCTCTGGTGCTCACTCTCTGCACATGTACAAAAAAGAGGTCATGGGAGCACACGGTAAGAGGCAGCTGCAACAGCCAAGAAAAGAGGCCTCAGACCTAAACTCACCCTGTTGGCACTTTGATCTTGGACTTCCCCGCCTCCAGAACTATGAGAAACAAATTTCCGTTGTTGTAAATCACTCAGTCTATGGTGTTTTGCTACAGCAGCGTTAGTGGACTAAGACACCCAGGACATCCCTTTGCCACAGTTGTCTCTTCACTCTTGCCATCTGTCTCCATTCCAGCAACTGTGTCTGTGTCTCACACATTCCGCCAGCAGATATTTATCAACATCGCCTGTGCTGAGATACTCAAGGGTAAGGTACACTGATCCCTGCCCTCCAGAAGCTTTTGGTTTAGCATCGGCTTCTTGTGTGGCTGCTCATGCCTGCTCATGAACAGGAAGCCCTGTCTCTCCAGAAGAATGCAGATGGATTCCTCTGGTCCTTTTCATTCCTCCCACTCACTGACTGGGAACTGATGAGAACTGGAGTAACTAACTTGGACCCAAGGTTGGAGGCCATGTTGTGACAATATCAGAGCTGGCCTGATAGTCACTTCCCTCTATTCTATTACATAAAAAAGGGAATTACCTTCCATCTTGTTTATTAACCCACTGTCCTTTTCACTTTTATTGTTACAACGTCTTAGCCTAAACACTAAACAGTACAAAAGGATTTCTATTTAATTAGGGGTAATTGCCTACCTGATGACAGCTTACTACAACTGCAAGTAGTCACTACAGGAAATAAACAACTTCCTGTGAAATGAACATGCAAACCTTAAACTTTCAAATGCCAGCTATCGTTATATAAACGTACCTAGCATCTCAATTCTTTCCCCAAGTAAAACCCTACCAGTCACCCACACCTTTATTACCTGGTCACATAAAACTGGAAGTCTGGGACTCTATGGCCTTAGTCAGGAACCACTGGCTCAACCTGTAGTTTCTGTCTTACTCCTGTTTCTTCTCATTTTTATCTCAATTGTTTTTCTTTCTGTTCATGGCCTTGTCTGGTTCCTTGAACGTAATTCACAAAGCATCTTCTAATACTACTGGAAACAATCTATACACACCCCCTTGATTATTCTATTCCCAGCTACTCTATGGGAATGTCTCCCTCAATCTAGCTCAACATCTACAATTCTAGATTTCATTGCAGACTTCCACAGCCTGTATCTCTACTCAGTTCATATGAGACCCAAAACAAGGGCCTACTAGTCATGGTCTACCCACCACAATGGACTCATTTCTCTTAGAAAAACAGGGCAGAGTTTCTGCATTTCTTTTTTCTTTTTTTAATTTTATTTGTTTGAGAGACAGAGAGAGTACAAGCAGAGAGAGGGACTGAAAGAGAAGTAGACTCCCTGCTGAGCAGGGAGTCCAGAAGGACACAGGGCTCAATCCCAGGACCCTGAGCTCAAGACCCGATCCGAAGGCAGACGCCTAATTGACTGAGCCACCCAGGTGCCCCTCTTTTTTTTTTTTTTTTTTTTTTAATATTTTACTTATTTATTTGAGAGAGAGTGCACAAGCAGGGGGAAGGGCAGAGGGAGCAGGGAGCCTGACTCAGGGCTGATCTCAGGACCCCAAGATCATGACCTGAGCCAAAGTCATTCACTTAACCACTGAGCCACCCAGGCACCCCTTGCATTTCAATTCATAAAAAAACAAAAACAAACAAAAAGACAATATCCTTATATATACATACACATAATTACTCTCCAGATGTTTTCATTTTGTTTGCTTTTTACCTATTTTGCTGTAATTATCTGCAACAAAATCTTCCAATCCGATCATCTTCCAGAAACTGTCATCCCAGCCTTTCTCTGCAGAGTATGTCCATTTGCACACCACGGAGCAGAGAGACCTAAGTAAATGGGACAAAGGTAGAACCAATAATATGAGTCAGGCTTCCTTTATATTTTGCCAAATACCTACCCAGATATCTGCAGTAGTGTTAAAGAAGTAGAATAAGCCAAAGTAAGTAATTATACATCCCTGTTCAGATCCAAAGTCTCCACTCATACCTGGCCATGGGTTGGTGGTTATGGGGATGAGTGATGGGTAAATGGGTGTTCATGATCTACTCTGTTTTGTGCATGTTCAAAATTCTCTATAATAAAAAAGGTAAAAAGAAATTGAAAAAGTACCTGGTATATATACAGTCGCTCTAGTCTAAAGCAATACTTAATTGGAGGAAGACTGGAATGCTGGAAGGTACTTTCCTCTCCAGCTTTATTTCTCATACATTTACCCTGAGTATTCTACACTCCAGCAATAAAGAAATCATTTGCAGTTTTCTGGAAAAAAAAAATTCTTGCACATTTCTGTGCCTTTGCCCTACTCCTATTTGTTTGGAAAATTCTTCCCAGCTTCTTCCCCCGGGATAACTCAAATACTTCTCCAGCCTAGGCTGAGTCTTCAGTTCTGGGTCTAAATGTTCCTCCTCTGAACTTCTAGAACATGCAACATACCTTCTACCACAGCCCTTAAAATGCTGTATAATTAACTCCTTTACATATCTTCCCAATAGTGCTACTGCTTTCCATGCTTATCTTGTATCGATAGCAAACCTTAGAAAATGAAATCTGATGCTATCAATCCCTGATTAAAACTTTTCAATTGTTCCTCATTGCCTTCAGGAAAAAAATCCAATCCTTAGTAGGGCTTAAAACACCCTTAGTGATATGACTATGCCGACCACCAGACTACTATCTTGCTGTTCCCACCCTTGCTTTCTCCATTCCACAAAACTGAATTATTTGAAGTTTCCCATAGCAGGCCTTGATTTCTCACTTCCCTGTGCATCTTTGCGTCATTCTGCCTAGAATGTTCCTCACTGTTATGTATTTGCTAGTTAGCCTTCGACTCAGCTCAGATCATCCCTTTTCATGAGGCCCCAGTGAAGGGCAAGCTGAGTCCAAAGCCCCTTCTCTAAGCTTCAATCTGGACATAGTCCTAACAGTGACCATAGTAACTATCTCTGCCCATTGGCTTCCCTAGCTCTCCCATTAACTCTAGCTACTCCTTCAGAGCAAAATCAGCCCTGCTCAGCTCTGTCTCCAGTACTGAGTCTACATTCAGCCACAATGAATACCGAGTAAACGGCAGCACTAACAAATGAATATGGTTTGTCCACCTCGCCTGTGGTTTATCACTCATCAGGTAAATGATATGGGAGGCTCACAGTTTTAAAGATAAACCTATCTCATAGAGTCAAGGTGCATCTCCTTCAATCACTCACACTGATTCACTCACCCACTCAAATATTTAGTATTCAGTTACTATGATTCTGGCACCAGGTGATGCCCTGGGGAACCAGTGGTATGCCAGAGACTTGGTCCTCTGCTCACATAGAAGTTGACAGTTAAACTAGGGGAGACATAGCTTGATCAATGGCATCTAAAATCACATACTAACAATAATGTTCTAAAGGAGGTAGAGAGACGAGTGAAAACCTTTAGCAGGGGAATCGGATATAACGTGGTGGGAGGAAAGGGGAGTAAGCATCAAGCAAGAGAGGCTCCACAGAGGTGACATTTTGTGAGACCTAAATTTCTTCTGAAATCAAACAAATGTTATGGATCATTACTGATTTTTTTTTCAGATCATGTAGATGGCAGAGCACACTGAGCTGAGCTAAGCCAAACAGATATACTGAGGGAATGTTAGCACCAATAGAAATGCAATACACATGTGCTAAATCCTTCACCTTACTTTAGATACATTTTTTTTTTCTTTTTGAGGCATAAAGAAGGTAGTCACCTGTATAGCATATCCTGAAGAATACAAAATAGGCTAATTCCTCCTGGCACAATGCCTGGAATTCCAACTTTTTGGAAGCTCTGAGAGCTCACTGCAAAGAACAATGCTATGGAACAGAAGATGGTGTAGACAGATTATTTCTAATGATCCAACTACACAGAACAACCCTTCATTCTCCAAATGCCCCATTCATTTGCAGAATTCTATGCCTCTGTTCTGACTGTTCCTTCTGTCTTAACTGCTTATTGTTCCTTCCACTCATTCTTGTCTACTTGGCAAACTCCAAGTCATCCAGATGGTCCGGTTGCAATGGCACCTCCCCGCTACCTCCAAGCTAAACTCACAGCTCTCTCTTTTGCGGCAGCATTCTAACTTGAAAATACTACATTCTAGTTCTTAAGAGCAGAGGCAGGTTGAGTTCATGCCCCAAGTCTTTGACCCTCCACATATCTGCATCTCTTGCCGTGTAATTTGCCATGCTGCCCTACCCCCTCCCACCCCCAAACTGTGGACATGATCTCCCTTCCTACCTCTATATTTTGGATTCTGTCACATGACTGGATTTGGCCAAAAATGTAAGGCAGAAGGACAGCATTCTGGGTTCAAGTCTAAGCGTCAAGAGGCATTCTGCATTTCTGCTTGCTCTCTTGCACCTCTGGTACAGCCTTGAGAAAATCAGGTAGGGCCAGCCCAATGGTGGGAGGAGGAGGAGAAGAGATAGGTGGAGCAGAGCAATGACCACCAAGCCCAACCTGGATCTCACATCCCCTCCCAGGCAGTCAAGACCTGACGCAGTGAGTTCAGCTAAGACTAGAAGACTCACCCAGCAGACCACAGCCTAAATGAGCTACCCCTGAGCCAAATACATGATTATTATGTTAAACTACTGAGCACTGGTTGTGGTTGGTAATGGTCAATAGTTAACTCAACATTTTATAGTACAACTAAGTTATCCCAAGTAGATTCCCCCCCACCCCAAGAGGGCAAGGAGAGGGATGGCTCAGTCCTCACAGCAAGTTAGAATGGGGGGCCAGAGAGCCTGCTTTGAGGGAAAATGACTGAGCCCAGGAGGCAGGGAATTTACAGGTGCAGATGCCTAGGGCAACTTCATCCCCCATCAAGATTACTCAAACACTATGAGGGTCCATTTCATGTGGATCTCTTTAAATCAACTCCTGTGCAATATAAATGTGTAAAAGCAGCAGAATTGGCAAAATGCAGAGAGTACACTTGAGGCCACAGGTTCTCCAGAAATCTCCAGGACAGAGAGAGCACAGGATTTTATCTTAGTGAGTACAGACAAGGTACCAGTAGCAGAACAAAAGGTTTGCCTTCCCCCTGAGGCCTCTATTAAGACCGGTTTTCTGTCATTCCCTGAGGTGTTTGTGAGCAGCTTGCAACTCCCAGAATAACTCTTCATCATCAGGCAAGCTGACCTACCAGCCCACTGGGGATGGAGGATGTACTTTGTAGGATTACAATTGCAGGTAGGGGACTGCGAAAGACTGGAGCGACACTAGCAGGCTGAGCTGTTTCACAGATGGGCAGCCAGGGAGGAGTGCTGTCCCCAGGGAGAAGGGGCCACTGGCTGTTTGTTCTCTGGAGCCAGACTGCCAGGGCAGAAACTGCTAGGCCTTCACTGCTCTCAGATCTGTTAATGCCGAAGAGACTATAACATCCTAGGTGCAAGTCGAAAGAACAGCGATCAATAAGCAGGGAGAACCAAAATAATATCTAAGTTAGGGGTCCAGTTCGTGTGAGAGCAGGTCCAAGAGAACATGTATAGGAGGCAGGTCTCTCTGAAGAGAGGATGGTGAAACCACAGGAACTGAGCATCACTAAGGGAAGCAGTGAGAGCTCAGAAGGAGGCTCTGAATGAGAACCACTGATTTTCAATTTTCAATTTAAAAGTTTCTGCAGAACTAAAAAATCATTGGCACTGCTGAAATTCAAATTAATTATCTGGAAGACCAAGTGAACAACATATCATACTTCCCAGAGCAAACATGAAGAGAGAAATGATGAGAGAACAAAGAGGCGTGGAGAGCAGATCCAGCAATGTAACATGAGAATAACTGGAATTCCAGAAGGGATTTTTTTTTTTTAAGAGAAAAAGAAAAATTAAAAATATACACACATCCAAAAAAAGATGAAAGAGATGCTATAATTAAATGAATACAGTACTAGATTTTTTTAAAAATATACTGAGCTGAAGCAAGATTTAAGCTTGCAGATTAAAACTCTCATTAAGTCCAGGAAGTGAATCCAGGAAATACTTGAATTTCAAGCATAAACAGAAAATTATACAAGCTTCCAGACAGAAAGAAATAAGTTACTTGCAAAGGCAAGAGATTCAGACTAGCTGAGGAATTCTCATCTACACCTCTGGAATGTAGAAGACAGTGGAACAATGTACAGACTATTAAGAAAAATGATCCAAGAATCCTATGCCCAGACAAAATATTATTCAGCTGTCAGGGCAAAAGAAAACATTTTCAACATGCGAGGCTTCAAAAAGCACACTTCCCATATACATGCTCTGAGGACAATACTTGAGAATGAACATAACCAAAAAAACAAGTGATTCACGTAAGGGAAATCAAAGACTAGAGGAGCCAGCGGCGGTGAGCACTGATGTTCACTCTCTCTCTCCATATGTGTGCGTGTGCACACGTACATGATGTACACGTGTACATGTGTGCTCAAACATGTGCATATACATACACATATATTTAAATCTACATAGATGATGATAAATAATGTAAGCAGGGATTTGTAATATTAAGTTTTCCTGAAACACCTCCCTGCTATATTTAGAAGGAAAAATCTAGTAATGGTCCAGAAGTGAAAATACTGTGAGCAAAACCTGAGTCAGAAACTAAAGAAGGGGTACACAGGAGAAGTATGCAGATGTGTGCGTATGTATGTTTGGGCAGAATGTTAAGTTTAGTGTATGGAATGAGAAGGTAATTTCTAACAGAAACAAAAACCTTAGTAGAATTCTCAAAATAACAAGGAATAAAAAAAGAATAAAGAGAAAGTTAAGAAGTCAGTCAAACCAAACTAAACCAATCAAAAGGAAAAGAGGGAAACATAATATAA